GTATTTATCTAATGGTTCATTATAACTAGAATTTTTTTTTATTATGAAAATGATTGTGATAATAAATCCTAATCGATTATGCTTCAAAAACAACCAAATTGACAGTTTTCTCCACTTAATTGGCTCCAAAAGGCATAGATATCAATATTAGTGTTGCGCTGATGCCATTTTTTGGCCCCGATTACTCGATACCTGGCTGTGCAGTATCGGCCGATACCGATACCATTTAGTGCAGTATCACGGTCACGTCCGATACTGGTATCAGTGCAACACTAATTAATATATTTAAAAAATGTGATTAAATCCACTTCTTGTTTGCTGTTTAGCAATTAAAAATATGTCATTTAGGCTGTTTGCACAATGCAAGTGGCTGAATAAGATAACAAATAAGTCGTACACAACTTCCCTGTCATTTAAAGAAAGACCACAAAATATTGACTCCATATTTACCATGAGCAGGACTTTAGCCTAATTCAGAATAAAATAGAATAGAATTCATTTATTGTCCCACAAAGGGGATATTCTGGTATTTAAAGAAGCAAAAAGATTATAGAAAAAATTTGGTTTTTTTTGTTGCTTTTTGTTCAGTACTAAAGCCAATAAATATGGCAATGACTTTAAAGCAGTCGACACCAAACCAATGCATGGTGGTTAAACATGAGTTTGACTTTAGATGCCTAAAAAAATAATCTTAGCTTTACAAAATCCCTGGAAATTTGCAAAAATCTTTCAAAAAAGAACAACATCTGAAGCAAAAGCAGAGCAGACTCCTGGCTTAATGGAGTAAAAACCCTCTAGAGCAGCTAAAAGATGTTTTAGCAGCATGCAGATGAAAATGACCAGGCCTGCAGGTTCTTCCAGAATAAAAGCAGCTTTCATTTTGAGACATATTTACGGAAGAGGATTAGGGCCAGTGGAAAAAAAAAAAAAAAAAAGTTAACTGATTTTTAAATTTTATTCCAGTTTAACATGGGAAAAAGTCAGAATTCTGACTTAAATCTCACAATCCTGACTTTTTTCTCAGAATTCTGACTTTAATCTCACAATCCTGATTTTAATCTCAGAATTCTGACTTTAATCTCACAATCCTGACTTTAATCTCACAATTCTGACTTTAATCTCACAATCCGGACTTTAATCTCACAATCCGGACTTTAATCTCACAATTCGGACTTTAATCTCACAATTCTGATTTTAATCTCACAATTCTGACTTTAATCTCACAATTCTGACTTT